AAGAAATAATACATAGAGTTATGGAATACTCTATTATCCAAGACGTGGAAGATATACGAAAACGAGAAAATACAAGCTGGTATGCAACAATTTTAAATTATCCTGTAAATAACAACTATATATTGACAAATCTAGCTTTTAACATCAAAAAGTTTTTTATACAGCTTAGGCTAAATAAATACGGAATAATTATAAATGATAAATATATAGACTATACCCAATCTAAATGTCCAAACTGTACTAAACCTTTATCTAGAGTTCATATAATATGTGAATGCTGTAATGAAAAAGATAAAATACAAAGGCTCCAATTGGAACCGCTAGTTAACTGTAACAGTGAAATGGAAATGTTTAAGATTTTTGACAGAGCTAATACTAACACGATTTATATGTTATATAATTATGTTAAACAATTTATTAAATGATAATTGTGACAAAATATTAATGTAATTTTATAGATCTGTAAAGATGTGATTATATGAGATGTTAAATTAAAATGCGTTATTTAAAATAAAACGCCCTTGTAACAGGCGAAAGCCTTGTACGACAAATAAAGATTATTATTATTATTATAAAAAAAAAAAAAAAAATGATTAGCCAAATAAGATTATAACAAAATAAATAAAAGAAATATCAAAAATTAAAAATAAAAAGATCTAAATAAAAATCTAAAATTCTTAAAATTTCCATACCTGCAAGACATATTTAAACAATTGAATTCATTATTTAACAAACATAATATTAAATTGGCATCTACTTATAAGAAGCTGTGGAACAGAATTAAAAATAATAAGAAAGTAATAAATAGCAAACAAAAAAAGAACTAATACAATGTAAATGATAGTGTTAATGTTGTATATTCAATCTTCTGCATATGCCAACAAATCTGTTTATATTGGTGAAACAATAAAAAGTTAAAACAGAATTAAAAAAACATATCATCAATCTACAATATAGTAGACAAAATTCAGCCTTTTTACAATAACTGTTTAGTAATATTGCAAAAGAATGACACCAAATTTTACATCAAGAATGCAACATACATTGTAGGAAATTTTAAGGAAAGTATAGAAATAATAAAAAATAAAAATAAAATTAATTACAACCTCAGCAAAAAATAAATGACAATTGGTTAAAACTATTGTAATAGTAAGGAAACATTACTGTAGCAATAAAAACTCATAATTATAATATTAAAATATTATATAATGGTAATAAATAAAAAAATAAATAAATAAAAATTATTAAAAAATGTGTAGTAAATATAAAACAAATGTAAAATATGATATAAACATGAATAAGTATATGTAAATGTATGATTGGACCTAACAATATATAAATAAGCCAATAAAAATGAATAGCAATATAATGCAAACATTATCAAAGGAATGAGTTGTAACATATCAAATTGTATGGTTTTCACATAAAGTTTTAGATTGTTTTAACAATAATAAAATTAGTTTTAAGAATTCCACATCACTCCATAGATATATGTCAATTAAATTATGCTTGGTATATGTGATAAGGTTTAATGATATATTTACTTACAGCACAGCATAATGACTGATGGATTTTTGTTGAATTTTTAATAATTATAAAATGAAATAAGATGTTTATAACCATTACAATTTCAGATCTTGTATGTCACTTCACAAGTAAGTCAAAACTTACTGAAAATAAATACGATAAAATAATAAATTTAATTTGTAGAATCAACTGATGAGTAGTAGTAAGTGCTCAAAACATGTCTTGACCAAATATTGAATAAAGGATGTTGAACAGTCATGTGTTTTCATCTTCGCTACATTGTCTTTTAAAATACATGAAGAAAAGTCTGTTTTTAATGCATGCAATCTATTATGCATGTTATAAAAATCCAGTTAACATCCTAAAGATAATTTCAACTCATACTTTTTTGGATAGAAGGTTTTATTTGATACTGACTTCAATTACTAACAACAGTTAAATCTAAATTTTTGGATGTTGTGAAAGAAAGTTATTTTCAACCTAAAGTTTAGGATTTTTTAAAGAGCAACAGAATGCAAAATACACTTATTCTCTTTTGACCTAATGAGAGTATACAGTAAAATTACATTTTTGAAGAGATAAAATTTCAGTTCAATGGCTAAATCTTCAATTAAGATTACTTATCCATGATTATATTTCATAGTAAAAATGCATTAGCAAAACTGACCTCTCAGATTACTTACAAACAAATGTTCTTATCCAATATACAATCTTAAAATTTTTATATTTTGTTAATACTTTGAACAAAGTAAATAAATAAGTTTTATATACCTTTATTTTTGTATACCATATATGTTTAATGTTTTTGATGTTTTTATTGATAATTATTAATGCAGTTTACTTATAGTATACTTAATATTAATCAATGTTTACAGAATGCCATTTTCTCATAGTTAAAAAGTTTTAGGGATAGCATAGAATGTCTATCTGAGAAAGGGTGTCATAAATATAAATAGTTTGCAAACCACTGAATACAACCCAATGTGTAAACTAGCACATGTTTGCATGAGATTGCATCCATTTAAAGAGGTGAACATCTTTAAACTTTAACCCTTATTTTTTTGAGTATAATAGAATGGTCCGCTAAAACCAAATACTTGAATTGCTCTACAATCAGAGATCAATGTATAAATAAAATATTTATTTTAATTATAATTATTACTATGCTCTTCACAGAAAAATATGATTTACATATTTCTTGACACCCAATGTCAAGAAATACGTAAGTTTCCATTCTTAGTATTTCAAATTTTTTATATTTGTTGATAAACTTCTTTGTATTGTATTTCTTTTCTTCTTTCTCTTAAGCATGTTTTTGATACAAATAAATCATTGTTCAAGATTTTATTTAATACCTTCCCACAAGTTAAGTAACATGCATACAATATTCAATTTCTCAATTATTTTAAATGAAGATATTGAATTGCAGGTTGCAAAGATCAGTTACCTGTAACTCTTCATTGCAACCCATAATTCAATATGTTAATTTAAAATAGTAACCTGTTCATATATTTTCACAAGTTTTTCAATGTGGGATTAGTTGCTAACTCTATTGCAAGTATATAAAGAAAAGAGAAATAATTATGCTAATTATTAATCTTGTTTTTCAAAACACTAAAAATGAAAAGCATCAACCAAATTGATAATCTAACTTTTCAAATACCAGAATGAATTATAGTTTAAATTCTATTTATATATATCGTATTTATTATGCATACTGGATACAATTCATGATGTGGGGAGCAATACCTTCTCCTGAAAACAAAACAATTAAATACAAAGATTATAAAAACACAGACAAAAATATACAATAATAAATTATAAGTAATAATTGAAATTATAAGTTAAGATTCAAAACTAAAATGTAATATTTAAAGTTTAACACTTGGAGCATCTGTCAACATATTTATCTTATTTAATTAAATAGAAGTTAGCTTTTTCTTATTTTTCTAAAATATTTTCAGTGTAATTCAAAAGTTTATTTTAGTTGAAAATGAAACTGTAAATTTTTTTAAATTTAGCAGTATTTTAAAATATAATCAAAATAAATAAATAAAACAAGAAAAACAATGAGATAAAGAATATAATAAATTAATTTTTAATAATTGAATAGAATTTTACAATTACCTGTAGCATTATTAAATTATTCTAAAATTATTATTATAAATTCTCACCTGAGACAATCCATGGCTTGCAGCTACATCTACATTGGTGAGTGTATATTCTTCTGTTTGACTTACATCTTCAGACCATACAGCACAACAGTGATGTGCAAATACATGTCCTACAAAAAATTCAATTTTCACAAATAATGCACAATTTTAAAAAATGAAATATATATGAAGCATAATTATTTGAAGTATAAAATGCATGTAAACACAATTTTCAACTTAATGTCATAATTATTTAATTCAGTTTTTTTTAACATAAAAATGATGCAGAATATTTTATGAATAATATTTTACTTTAACAAAATAAGTTTTAATTTGTAGATTATATACAAAAATATTATATTAAAGAAAAGATATAAAGAAAAATTATATTACATAGTTTGTAATGATATGCTTCAATTTTTATATTTAATTTTTTCCCCTCCTTCAAAGAGAAACAAAAGACTCAATGCTATCAATTCCTTATTTCAATACGTTAATGGTTATTGCAAAAATCATCTAACTGGAAAAAGTATTTGCAAAAATTTTTTATTTTTATAATGAAGAAATTATTTTAATTTTGCAGTATTAATAACCACAAAACATCTATGATATGATTTTAAAAAATTGATATTTTTGAATATAAAATAATTTTTCTTTGATTAGAACAAACAAAATTACATTTAATTATTATCTTATTTAAAATTTAAATACTTTTGTAACTAATATGTACAGTACTTAAAATTTTAATGTTTTCTGAAATTAAATTCTTATTATTTTTATAATTGCTACATTCAATAATTTATATGCCCATTTTAAATGCAAAAATTCACAAAATTTTATCTTTTAGACAGTTGTTTAATACCTGTAGATTCAAATATAACACTTGGATCAGGTTCTTCAGGAAAACCAACAACTTCTAATTCATCCATTGGTCCAGGTTGTATTCTAAACAAATCATTCAAACCATAGAGACTAGAACGGCGATGCATTTTTCCTCTTTCCCTGTGTAATTACAACAAAAAATTATTAACAATAATGACAGAAATGTAATTATATAAAAATTCTAAAATATTATAATAATATGTTTCAAAGGTCATAACAAAATTTGAAAGTTAATCACAATGCCATTATTTTCTCTTATTGCAATTACTATTCAAATTTTTAAATTAAAAAATAAACAGCATTAATAAATGAAACTGAAATTAAAAGTCAAATTCAAAGACAAATTATGTACCTATATAAAATTTAAAAACCTGATATCAAGTTTCCTATATAATATGAAAATTTATTCTTCTTATTGATCTTAGATAGTGCTCTAAAAAGTGATAATACCCTCATATTTACAGTTATAATTTTTTAGAAAAATCTAATCTATAATTCAAATAAGATTTACATCTAAATTTTGTAAAGTAGATGTATAATTAGTAAAATTATATATATAAGTTTAATAATTTTATGTTGTGAATGTCATGCTCAGCTAATACAGTACTGGTGGCAATGCTATGCATGTGTTTTATACATTGTGAGTGTTTAGAATGGATATGTCTATAATGTATGTGATTTTATTGTGTTTGTCAATGAGTGTGATGTCTGGTCTGCTGTGGTAAATTGTTTTATCTGTAATTATGGCTCTGTCATAGTGTATTTTGTGTGTCATTTTCTAATACTGCCAGTGGGGTATATTTGTAGTATGGTACCTGGGTGTTTAATAATCTTTGTTTGTGTGCAAGCTCTTGATGTATTATATTTGCTATTTGATTATGCCTATGTAAATAATAATAATATTATTATTATATACCTTCCAAATTTAGTAGAACTTTTTTGTCTTCTTAATGGTAACACTTTTGGAGATCTTTCAATTTGTGGTGTACCACTGTCACTTTCACTTGATTCACGACGAGATTTTATATCTTTTTTAAATGGATTAAATCCTGGAGATGGTTCAAATCGAGTCAATTCTCCCTGACCTAAACAACTATTTTCACCTAAATTACAAAATGCACAAACTTTTCCTGGCCTATAAAAAAATATATAAAGTAATAAATATTTTAATCCTGAAATAAATTACAGTTAGAAAATTTAAATAAAACATTTAAAAAATAAAATAAAATTTCAATTAATATGAAATTTGTAATTCAAAAATTCAAAAAAACTAAAATAATAAATCTTTAAATTATTCTCTTAAAACTTTTTCTAATATTTTAATTTGATTTGCTTGTATTAATAATAATTTCTTTCTGATTTCTTTAATAGTTCTACAGTAAATTTAGCACTGTATTATTCATGATAAATAATATATTGTAAGAATGTTCAAACTTTTTGAGAAAAGGGACACACACCAATTTATAAAATGTAATGCATGTATGGCATAATGAAGTATCATTTAATTGTGCATCATAAGTCACACAATATTTTCAACTATGCAGTAGTAGCTAAACAATGAATGAGTTGCTTAGTAGAGCAGTTTTAATACAGCAGAATAAGCAAACCAATGAGATAGCCCATTTGAAACAGATTATGTCAATTCTTTGTTTACCCTGCTGTATGAAAGCCACTTGACTAGGCAACATACTCAATGTCTTCTCCAATCTCAAAAAATTTGTAAAATTTTTAAATATATATAATTGCTATCTGTTAAATATATATGGATATCATTTGATGATAACATAAATATGTAAAATAAATTTAAAAACTTCATAATAAAAATATGACTCAAAGGTGTGGGTAAGTAATTCCATAATTCACTAAAAACAGATAAACATTTGTCATTTCTATTCTAACTTATAATTGTCCATATAATAAATACCTTATAATGACAAGCACAAACTTGAATTTTTATATTACTGTGTCAATACATATCATGATAAGAATGTAAAATATATGCATCTTATTCAGTATCATTTTCTGATTAAATTATTATAACCATTTTAATATTTCCTACATTCCCATTTTATATTTTGCTTTGTTCTAAATGAAAATAAATAAATAAATATATTTTTAGTTTGTATTTAGGTCTGAGCAACAAATATTTTCATTTAAAATAGTTTAAAATCAAATTATCTTTATAATTTAAAAAACTGGGTAATACATTTCTATAAATAAATAATCAATAATGTACTCATATATTTAATACTTTCAATATATGTTGTTTTGAAATATGATATTATTTAGACTTCTTTGTAACATAATTTTATTTATCATTCATAATTCAGATTGAAAATTAAAGAAAGTTTTCTTTTCATTGTAAGTTAACAGTATGGCAAAATACTTTTTTAAAATAAAATTGAAAAAAATCTGTGATTTTCATCTTAAAATTAAATACAGTATTTGTGAAAAAATTCAGTATTCCATTTTTTATTATGATATATAAAAAGACTGATTTTTAAAATATTCATAACTTATACTTTTCTTATATGACTTATCTTTTATTTTTCAAAGCATTTTTAAAATATACAAAGAAAAAAATTATATGTATTTATAAGTGCAAACTATTTTTTAAAATACATTTAATTTATATTTTCAATTATTTATTTATAAGTAATTACACAAGTAGCAAAATTAAAATAATGAGTACCAATGATAAGCTCAACTAAATCTCTGTTGAGCATCAAGGTCAAAACAGGACAACTGTCCCAACTGTCATTTTTGACCTTGCCATTCAACCAGTCATTGATGTTGATTGAAGTTTTGCCTCCCACATGTTTCAACTTCAATTGAATTTAAAATTAAGTTATAGAATTATACTGTTGCAGAAAAAAGTTCCACATTTTGATTACTTATAAGTCTATATAATTAATTCATACTTCATTATAGAACAAGTAAATAAATGCTCATTTGTCTATTCCTTATGATCATGAGAACTAATTGACTAATTTACAATTATCATGAAATAACAATTCTAATACTGTTAATATTGTTAACTCATGATTATTTTAAATTTTTAACAAAAACAGCAAATTAATGGTGAAAATTTTTGCTGGTTATTAAAAACCTAACATATAAAATTTTATATTCAGTTACTTTGAAAAATTTTTATTTTATTAAACATACACAAATTCAAACCCAAAATAAGTAATGGCAAACAGTGTAAATAAAGAAAATATTTTATAGAAATTATTATGTACATTTGATGTAGAAAATTAATAAAATAAATGAATGTTACTTTATAATTTTATAACTCAACTGTTAAAATATTTAAATTTTTATACTAGATATAACATAAAATATAGTTTAAAAGCATATGTATATTTTTGTTGTTTGTATTCACACACAATTATTGTTATTTTTTTTATTAATGAAATCTGATTTGCTACATATTCAAATCATACAATTTTTTCATACTTATGATAAAATTGCACTTCCTAAAACAATTTTTGTTAAATTTAACATAATTCCCACTTTCTTTCTGTCTTAAAAATTAAGTACTTTATAAGGATTTTTAAGCACTTATTGCAAAATCTTCAAAAAACAAAGCATGTCCAAAATATGTAGTAGCCTTTTTTCTTTTTGTTTTAAATCCTATTGAATACTTGACTATACTATAATATATACTATATTATAAGCATAAAAGAAATTATTTTATTTATTATTTTATTTTATTTACTCCATACAAGATTTCTCCTAGAGTACAAGTGGTTAATACATTTAATGACATTCACAATAAAATTATATTTTTTCTAAACTGTTTCTACAGAATCTGTGTCAGAAAACAATCCATGTATCCTGTCCCCAGTAGAAATACAAATGTCACAACAATCTTCAGTTGGACAAAAAAGAATAAATTTTTCACGATTAAATAAATAATGATTCAAAGTAGCATTTCTCCGTGTACAATAAAGACATCTATCAAAAGAAATAAAATTAACTTCAAATTTCCTCCAAGTTAAACAAAATTTATTTAAATGTATCTGGGCAATCATTTTCTTAACTACATAAGGCAATTGTTGATAATAAATAAAAAATTATTACTTCTCAAAAAATAAAAAATTTTATCACTGAAAAAAATTGTACAGGTAATAGTTAACTAAACTGTTTACTATTACCTGTACAATTTTNGAAATAAAACAATTTATTTATTTATAAGTAATTATTTACAAAGCATAGATATCATGACGCATTTGATTTCAAATTTTACAGACTCGTATAAAAACGAATTAGTTATTTTCACTAAAATCAATCATAACATGTTTGCGAAATGTCAACACGAATTTGTACTCGTAAGAAATAAAACAAATTATTTATTTATAAGTAATTACACAAGTAGCAAAATTAAAATAATGAGTACCAATGATAAGCTCAACTAAATCTCTGTTGAGCATCAAGGTCAAAACAGGACAACTGTCCCAACTGTCATTTTTGACCTTGCCATTCAACCAGTCATTGATGTTGATTGAAGTTTTGCCTCCCACATGTTTCAACTTCAATTGAATTTAAAATTAAGTTATAGAATTATACTGTTGCAGAAAAAAGTTCCACATTTTGATTACTTATAAGTCTATATAATTAATTCATACTTCATTATAGAACAAGTAAATAAATGCTCATTTGTCTATTCCTTATGATCATGAGAACTAATTGACTAATTTACAATTATCATGAAATAACAATTCTAATACTGTTAATATTGTTAACTCATGATTATTTTAAATTTTTAACAAAAACAGCAAATTAATGGTGAAAATTTTTGCTGGTTATTAAAAACCTAACATATAAAATTTTATATTCAGTTACTTTGAAAAATTTTTATTTTATTAAACATACACAAATTCAAACCCAAAATAAGTAATGGCAAACAGTGTAAATAAAGAAAATATTTTATAGAAATTATTATGTACATTTGATGTAGAAAATTAATAAAATAAATGAATGTTACTTTATAATTTTATAACTCAACTGTTAAAATATTTAAATTTTTATACTAGATATAACATAAAATATAGTTTAAAAGCATATGTATATTTTTGTTGTTTGTATTCACACACAATTATTGTTATTTTTTTTATTAATGAAATCTGATTTGCTACATATTCAAATCATACAATTTTTTCATACTTATGATAAAATTGCACTTCCTAAAACAATTTTTGTTAAATTTAACATAATTCCCACTTTCTTTCTGTCTTAAAAATTAAGTACTTTATAAGGATTTTTAAGCACTTATCGCAAAATCTTCAAAAAACAAAGCATGTCCAAAATATGTAGTAGCCTTTTTTCTTTTTGTTTTAAATCCTATTGAATACTTGACTATACTATAATATATACTATATTATAAGCATAAAAGAAATTATTTTATTTATTATTTTATTTTATTTACTCCATACAAGATTTCTCCTAGAGTACAAGTGGTTAATACATTTAATGACATTCACAATAAAATTATATTTTTTCTAAACTGTTTCTACAGAATCTGTGTCAGAAAACAATCCATGTATCCTGTCCCCAGTAGAAATACAAATGTCACAACAATCTTCAGTTGGACAAAAAAGAATAAATTTTTCACGATTAAATAAATAATGATTCAAAGTAGCATTTCTCCGTGTACAATAAAGACATCTATCAAAAGAAATAAAATTAACTTCAAATTTCCTCCAAGTTAAACAAAATTTATTTAAATGTATCTGGGCAATCATTTTCTTAACTACATAAGGCAATTGTTGATAATAAATAAAAAATTATTACTTCTCAAAAAATAAAAAATTTTATCACTGAAAAAAATTGTACAGGTAATAGTTAACTAAACTGTTTACTATTACCTGTACAATTTTTTTTCTAAATCTTACAATTTAAGCTTTTTTTCCTATTAAAAAAACTACAAGAACTTAATATTTCTATTTAAGTATTATGACTATGTGACTAAAACCATTAAAAAATATTACAAAATATATTTTAAAATACTGTAATTGACTACAAAATAAAATATTTTAGACCTTTAATTTTATATTTTGTCTTCAACTATAGTATTTTCAAAATATATTTTGTTGCTTCCTAGATTTTTTAAATCTAGGATTTAAAAAATCTAGATTTTTTAAATCTAGGAAGCAACATTTTAAATTTAAAAAATTTTTTAAACTAACCAACATTGTTTTTCAACAGCACTAAGGTATTTTTGATGCAATCTGTTGTAATTGTTTTTTATTTTTACTGTCTGAAAAAAACTGTTTGATTGACACATAAATTTTACTTTCCTGGTTTTTCCCTATTTCTTCAGTAAGGTTGTTGACAACATAAACATGCAAAATAAATAATTTTATAATAAAAATATGATTTAAAAATTTTGGTAAGATACTTCCATCACTCATTGATATATAGTTAACATAAGAAAACAAAATCAAAAATTAAGTTTCTTTTCTTCTCTTTTTCTTCATTTTTTCATCTACTTCCATGAAAGACAAGTGACATATTTGTCTGGCTCCAGAGGAAATTAATTATAGCTATTTATTAATTTTTATGTCAGCTATATTAATTTATAATTTCTAACATAATCAATAATAATTCTTTGTGCAATGAAAGCAATGCAATTTTCAATTTCTGAAGTGTCTCACAATGTTTCCCTTAATTCCTCAACTTATCCCACTTATTTCTACAAAAAAAACAAATTACTAAAGTGATGGCCATTGGCTGTTCTGTTTTCTGATTATTCAGCAGAAGATTATTTGTAACTTTTTGCACATGTTTTTTTTATGGATTGCTCATAAATAATTAAGCAATTATAAGGACTTTTTACATATTTTTGTGAAAATATGCAATTTTAAGCACCACAAAAAATTTAAGCACTTTTAAGAATTTCTAAGGACTGTGGGAACCTTGATTAACAAATATCTTAAGGCAGGGGTCTTCAACCTGGGTTCCCTGGAACGTTGACAAGGGTTCCGCAAGTGATCACTATTTGCTCAGCCAAAACACACGTTAAATGGAAATCATCTGTACAAGGAATTTTTCATGTAGGAATGGGTAGTGGACTGTCTTATTAAATTATTAGATTAATATAATATTTAGAAAAAATTACAATATTAATATAAATTGGATATAAAGTGGCAGTTGATTTAAAAAAAATAAATATAAATAAATATTTTATGGATAAAATAAAATCTTGAAATTCGGTAAAAGTCACGTGCTTCAAATACACCAATCAAGACGCATCACGTCACGTATTAGTTCTGTTAATCTCATTCTGTCTGTTAAATACAATCACGTACAAACATACAAGTGAGTATTTATTTTGTTTTTATATCATAATTGATAACTCTTATTATTTATTTACAATTTTATTGGACTACTGTAGCAATAATGGATATGTGTTTGAAAACTAGTAAGCTTCATTCCACGGATGCGGGAACTAGTTTCGCTACTACTGTTGATAATGAACCAGATGTTAGTACCAAAAGGTTGTCTGGTGATTCGGAGTTACCCATTTGTAAAAAGCTGGAGTATAATGAAGAATACATAAAATTTGGTTTTACATGGATTGGTGATAAAAATGAACCAAAAAAGTTATGCATTAAATGCGAACATGTGATGCACAATAGCAGTTTAAATCCCGCAAAATTGAAAAGACATTTGGAAACAAATCATCCAACTTTACAAAATAAAAATGTTAAGTATTTTAAAAAAAAATGTAATGAGTTGAAGAATAGAAAAAAGACAAAAAATACCTTTATGAACTTTGTTAAAAACGATCGTGATAATGCTTTGGAAGTATCATATCATGTCAGTTATCGTATTGCTCAACAGGGTGAAGCTTATATGATCGCAGAAAAATTAATTAAGCCATGTGTAATTAATTTTTCTGATTAAGTAAGATGTATTTACTACCATGATTGGGGAAGAACGTGCTAAATTAGTTGACTGTATCCCCCTTTCGGATACTACAGTTTAGAGGCGTGTTAAAGATATGTCTATTTTTGTGAAAATGAGCTTGTAAGACATTTGCAAGCTTCTGAACACAGATTTACTATTCAACTTGACGAAACTACAGATATAGCTGGATTAGCGATCTTGCTCATTATTGCGAGATATATCCATGGAATGGCTACTCAAGAAGATATGCTAATTTGCAAAAGTTTGCCAACCATAACAACTGTGTAAGAAATTTTTAATTTGATAAATTCATATTTCAAAAAGCAAGATATATCTTGGGATTTATGTCATCGAGTATGTACCGATGGAGCCAAGGCAATTCTTGGTAAATTGAACAGCGTAGTTGCACGCGTGAAACAAAAAAATCCTCACACGAGAAGTACTCATTGTCGTCTTCATCGACGGGCTCTCGCAGTGACGAAAATGCCAGAAGAGCTAAAAGACATACTTAATGATTGTGTTAAAATTATAAATTTTATCAAATCAAGGCCATTAAATTCAAGAGTTTTCAATTTATTGTGTGAAAATATGGGAAGTTTATATAAAACACTACTGTTGCACACAGACGTCCGTTGGTTATCTCGTGGAAAAGTGTTAGCAAGGTTTTGTGAATTAAAAGATGAAATAAGAATTTTCTTATCTGAACATGCACCTCAATTATCTCAAAAATTAAATGATGCAGTTTGGATTCAGAAAATGGTATATCTAGCAGATATTTTTACCTATTTAAATGAGCTCAACACATCGCTCCAAGGAACAAATATCAATATTTTCAGGGTACAAAGTAAAATTGACGCTACTCTTTTAAAATTGAAATTTTGGGCAGTTTGCATTTTGAAAGGAAATATTGAACGCTTTCCTAATTTGCACAATATTTTAGTAGACAGTAACGCTAATCTCGATAAAAATGTAAAAAATAAATTGGTCCAACATTTATAAGATCTGCAAAAAACATTTTGCGAATGTTTCCTGTTCAAAAAGAAAAATTATCTCAAATTCAAAATCCTTTTCAAGACTGCGACACTTCCGAACTCCCAATAAAAGAAAGAGAACAACAAATTGATGTAACGACCGACACTCGATTGAAACTAAAATTTAATTGAATAGATATTATGCATTTTCGGATTGACATTAGGAATGAATATCCTGAAATTGCCAAAAGAGCTGTAAAACATTTAATGTCATTTATATCGACCTATATGTAAAAAATCTTTCTCTTTGTATGCTGCCACAAAAACAAAGTACAGAAACAGATTGGATGCTGAAGATGACATTAGGTTGCAGATTTCAACAATTATTTCCGATGTAAAAATGCTTTGCGATAAAAAAATATGCGCAGTCGAGTCATTAAAAGAATTTTCTTTTTATTAATTTGTTATAATATAAAATATTGTTCCTTTTGTTAATTATTCATAAAATGTATTCTAGAAAATAAATAAAATAAAACCCGATTCGCTACCTCACTATTCATTGTTTTATCAAGATGTTTGTATTAAGATTAAATAAAGATACAAGAATAATTTTGCAAATTCGAGTAGAAAAAAGCTTTGATAAACTATTTTATCTGCTACTTAAACACGAGGTTCCTTCAAGAAACCCTGAGCTCAAAGGGTTCCCGAAAGTGTAAAAGGTTGAAGACCCCTGTCTTAAGGAAACTATTCATAGCTATTATTTTTGTAAATAAAACTGTAATATAACTAATATTAGTAGAGCTAATTTAGAGGATTGAAATCAGTCAATCTGGATAAAAGCAAATATAATTTATTCATTAGAAACATTAGAAATTTTATTTGTCAAAAACAATACTAATAAAATTAAACAATTTATTAACTAATCCTTTTTCAATTAAAACAAATCTAGATTTTAATCTTGTAAAAAAAAAACTCTTACTTAATTTTACAAGATATTACATTCTTGTTTAAAAGATAAAAGAGGAAATTTATGAATTTGTGCCAATATTTGAATCATTTAATTTAATAATTTTGTACCAAGGTCATTAAGTTTGTGAAAAAAGGTTTAACTGATTATCTTAATTAAATTTAGTAAACTAATTATATATATATAACATTCTAAATAATAATTAAAAGAAAACTAATTATAATAGGTTTTTACAATGTATAATTATTTTAATTAACAAGTTATAATTTATCAAATTTCACTGATAAAATTATATTCTTTACTATGTATTTTAATGTAAAACAAACTTTACCATTGTTCTTGATTACTTTCTTCATGCATTGTTCTTCTCAAAACAGAGTAGGCTGTTTGCGGATCATCTATTTCCCCTTAAAAAAATTTTCTGTGTTAATACTTCACAAAAATAATAAATTAAATCTCATATATATATATAAAATCAAAATCACATCTGTCTGTTCAAGTATAAGTTGAGAACAGCTGAATGAATTTCTATGAAACTTTGTATAGCTATTCATGTTAGTCCTGGGAAGAATATAAGTTGCTTTCCATTTCCAAAATCATTCAATTTTATAAACTTTGATAGAATTATCATATTGTTTGCAAGAGTAAATAGTTCACATCTGGTCCTTATCATGCTTTTTGCATGAATAGAAAGTTTTGCCCAGAGGTTGATGATGTGAAATAAACTGTGAAATTCAAATACAATAGGCTAATGCTGTGGTCATTGACAAGTGAAAGTGGAAATCAACAGAATCATATTTCATTTGATTGATCAGACTATTATTTGAGCAAAATACATGCATTAGTGAAAGTATGGCCATTAGCATTTTTACCATTATCAGACTGAATAGAATTCTTTCAATGTAAATTTTTTTTTGGTTGTATCACACTGCAATGATTTTAGTTTATTATATTTTTGTGTTTTCTGAACTGAATTTTGAACATTTACACCTAAGTTTTCCACAAAAATCTCTGGATATACATACAATGACAGGCAAAATTATTAGACAGACCCCTCACTCTAATTTGGGCAAAGCTGTTAGTAACACATGGTGGACTTAACAGCAATAATTATCATATAAAAGACATGCTTAATATCAAGAGAACTGTATATCAGTAAAATTAGCCTAAACATAAGTAAGAAAAAGATTTAAACATCTTTCATTGAGACATGATTGTGGGGTGCAAAAAAGAGCTGATTTCAGTATTTTGGAAACTAATATCCTCATCTTTTCTCTTGCAACAGTATCTCAGGTGTTCAGAGAATGACAGCTGACCAAAAAATGTTAAGCAATAAGCACAACTGTGGATAGAAAAAGCTTGTGGATCAAAGAGGTAACAGGCAACTGGCACAAATCATTCATGTAAGCAGAAGGGCAACAACATGACAGAGTGCAGCTCAACATACAGTGCAGGTGCAGTAACAAGCATATCCAAATGCACAACATGTTGGTCCTTGTCTTTGGATTGGTTTTAATAGCAGATCATCATTAACGGTGCCTTTCTTATCACAGAAAAACAGAAAAGCATGCCTGCTGTGGACCCAAGAGCGTCAAACTGAACAATTAATAAGTGGAAAAGGGTAATTTGGTCTGACAAGTCTCAATTCCTTCTCCACCATGTTGATGGCACCAGCAGCATGAGTCTTGCCAACTGACAACCCTACAAGCTGGTGATGGTGGAATAATGGAGTGAGGTATGTACCTTGGAACACCCTTGGTTCCTTAATACCTCTAGGAACACCTCTTAATGCCATGGGCTATTTCAACATTACTGCTGACCAGGTGTACCCATTTATGGTTAGTGTTCCCTGATGCAGATGGGCATTTTCAGCAGAATAATGCATCCTGTCACTGTGCTTAATTGATCTCAGATTGGTTCTATGAACATAACTCAGAGTTCCACTTGCTTCACCAGCTAGCTTAGTCACCTGATCTCAACTCCATTGAGCATTTTGGGTCAAGGTGGAATGATTTGAAACCTAGAAATACTGCCATTCAATATGAACCAACTAAAAGCAGCTATTATGTCAGCATGGGCCAATATTCCTGCACAACAGTTCCAACACCTTAGAGAATTTAACAGTTCCAACACCTTAGAGCAGTAAGCTAGAGAGGATAATTTGGCCACTCAGTGTATGTATAAAATAAGTTAATTTTATAAGTATGTGACCTCTCAAATTAAAATGTATGGACAGATTGGAATGGATGGGACAGGGAAGTTTAGAATTATTGCATTTTTTCTCAAAATGAGTGATCATCATCATAACATTAAATAAATATTTTTGTTAATGTAGTGAATAAGAGAATAATGAATTGACACATTCAATGTGAAATTTTGTTGAAATATCTTGGAAAGTCCCAAAAGTAGAAAAGAAAATTTATAATTTTAATTGCAAATTTTGTTGACCTGGGAAATTTAATTTAGAAATATGAAGAATGACTATTAGTTCTAACTTCAGTTCTAATGTCAATTAACTGTCATTATTTTTCAAACGCTAAACAAACTTTGATTTTATCACTGACTGATTTAGTGATGTGATTCCAAACAAAAAATCCAACAGATTGAATTCTCTCATTTTTCTGCTACACAGTTGCATCAATGTCAAACAAAGGTCACTGATATGTCTTAAATTTGTTTGAACATGCCAAAACCATGTGTATAGTGATTCTAGACATATATTAACTTTACTTAATATATCATTTTCCCAAGTTGCTTAACATAGCTTCATTCCAAATTATGTAATATTTTTATAAATAATTTGCCATATTTTTATATCCCAATNGGTATAACAAACACATAAATAAATAACACAAAATAAATTGTAGCTATATGTCGATTCCGCTCGACACGTCCGAACAAGAAGCCGAACAAAAGTGTGGAGGGAATTAAGAGTTGCATGGTGCTCAAACAAAAGAGGAATCGACGAGATTTGATAAGTAAATTAACTTCACTCTGACACCGGGGATGAAATACTAAATACGGAATCTGTTACCGGTGTAATTTTGTGTGAAAAAATCTTCCTTTCACAAACGTTTGAGCTGTCGAGATAACTCTTCTTCAGGTAGAGAAAAGAAAAGAAAAAAAATTCCGACAGAACACTTCGAAAAATGGAACGTAGATATTTAAATATCTACATTCCCTTTTTCAAAGTGTTCCGTTGGAATTTTTTCTCTCGGTAACAGGTTCTGTATTTAGAGATTTGAAAATTGAGTAACTCCGGGTTCGCGTAAGTCGAGGTATTACTGTATTTCAAATTCAAATGGTCTGAAGATGAAATGAAGAAATCCCAAAAAACATTTTACCAATAAAAAACTGATTCCCATAATTTTAGGAATTTTGTTTTTCTTCTGATTTGACATTCCATTAAGTACTCTCTCTACTCATCTGGAAAAACAAGGAACAGGTTCAATGAACCACAAAATCTGACAGAATAGTAAAGCAAGCATAAATGTAAGTATCCAGATGCTGTGTGTACTGAAGTGGTTTGCAAGTAGGCCTACAGACAAAAATATTCCTGCTGATAGAAAACTTCAGAGAGAGAAAGCTGAACAATTCAAGACAACAGTTGGGACATACCAGATTCAAAGCAAGAAGCAGGTAGCTGGATAAATTCAAGAGGAGGCATGAAATAGTTTTTAATGAAATGTAGCAAGAGTGCAAGTGAAAGAGGAGAATTGCATAAAGTGATACAAAAGTTCACCAGAAATTGTACAAAACTATAGCTGAATGATGTTTTCAATGCAGATGAAATGAGATCATTTCTTTAAATGTCTGCTAAATGTAAACAGTAGTGTTCAAAAGTGATTTACAGTGGAACCTTGCTTAATGAGTATAATTCGTTCCAGAATTTTACTCATATTGCAAAACACTCGTTAAGCGAAACAATTTTTCCCATATAAATTAATGTAAAATACGATAATGTGTTCCATGCTGACAAAAGAAATATTCAAATATTTTATGTATAACATTTATTCAAAGAAAATTATACAATGTACATTGTTAAAGAGTCATCTTTTCTTCTATAATGGAATGAACCAACCAACCTGGAATGCAAATTCGATTTGCAGAAAACAAACAAAAAACAAAAAAATTTAATTTGGAATTAGTCATTAAATTTGATACAAGATGGCAGCATAACTGACTATCTCTAGTCAAATTATTTAATTTCTAATATTTAATTAATTATATCCTTTACATAGCCCAAGAATTTAGCATATTGTTTGGTGTGTTTATATAATGGACTATGGTTGTTGATGTTTATGCGTAATATGTCTGAACACAAGTTTGGAAAAATGAATCACAAGCGTCACTAAGATGCCAGCAGAACAAGTGCTAAACACAGACTGATGTAACATATGCACAACCTGGGACTTCCTCTCTTCTTGTCACTCGTTGAGCAAGTCATTTTTTTACAATTTGTTTTGCTTGTTATGCAAATTACTCATTATGAGAGATGCTTGTTAAACGAGGTTCCAATGTACGTCACAAATATAAAAGTACAGAATATGTAAAACATTATAGGTAATAGAAAAACTACAATTGTTATTATTTGTTAACATCTTGATGTTTCCATAGTGCAAAGATGTTACTGAAGTATGTAAGAAACAAAAACTATGGATGACATCAGAGCTTTATTCTAACTACATGAAAAAGACATCCATCTAATTGCTGAAAACAGAAAAAAATTATTCTTTTTATCAACAGTTGCAGTTTGCATTCAATGTTTCCTACTCTGAAAGCTATAATAGTTGAATTTTTATCACCAAATACAACTTCTAGATTGCAACCTATAAATCAAGGAATCATTCAAAACTTTAAATTATGATACAGAAAGCTTATCGTGTGCAAGATGTTTCATGTTATTAAAGACGGATCACATAAATTTGGAATGAACCCGCTAGATACAATGCTAATAATCAAAACACTTGGAATGATGTTCCACAAAGCATCATTGCAAATTGTTTTACAAAAGCAGATTCCATTCAACAGCTTGTTCATGCTTTAAATAAATCTAAATTTCCATCAGAATCCTTCAACAATATCAAAAACTGGGAAATCTCATTATAGAACTGAGTGATGAAATATCATTTGAAGATTTTGTCAATATTGCCAACAACATAGCTACCTATAGATATTTATATAAACACAAAATCAATGCAGAAGGTAAAGAACCAAATGCAAGAAACAAGCAATGAAGATTAAGTAGATTCAGGAAAGGACAAATATCCTTTATTGTAGTTTCTAGAAAGCTCCTTAAGAGCTTTAGCTTTAAAGGGGCTTTTTAGAAACTATATCATTCATAAAACAAAATGCTTTTGAAATGATCAACTACACCAAAAAATTGTTGTGTACAAAGTCTTGTAACAGACTTGTACCAGACAATTATCATTAGTAGGAGCTAGAAGAGAAGGCAGAGTAGGTAGAAGAGAGTTAGTATGGGAAACACTGCCCCTTGCCATCCCATGTAGCTACATCCCTGAAATTTTACTTTTTTGAAAATTATAATAAGCTTTAAATGTTAGACTGATGTTAACTTTAAGCTGAAAGACAAAAATTTTTTAAGTAATGAAATATTGAATTATAGAAACTATGATTATTTTAATGAGATAAATATCACAATTACAATTACCCACAAATGCTGGATAAATCATTTGCAATCATATCAATTATTAACTTTAATTTTTAAATTACCTATATCTAATGGATGATTTCGATGAATATCCCCAACAAATAACTGTGCTGCTTCAGATGACGCACATAAATCATATCCTTTATCCTCATGCAATGCAGATTCTGAAAGATGATAACCACCTCTTGATTCAAACACAGCAATTGATTGATTTGAAGTTGATGAGATTGGTATAATTGCTCTATGAGTTGTTTTACGAGTTCTCATTCTCGGTCTACCAGGAAATCTATGCCAATTTATATAAATCTTAATTAATAATATTCTAAAACTATATTAATAAACGAATTATTTAATTATCTATAAAAATTAAAATGATTTTTGAATTATTGACTTTGGTTCTTTCAAAGAGAAACATGTTGATACAAATCTTAACAAATCAAATATTTATGCAAGAGAGAGTTTTCTTTCATATGTAGTCTCCTTTTGCATAAAAGAGAAGTTAAAATATACTGATTATAATTACATTTGCAAACATAGTAACAACAAAACAATTTAACTTAAATAGACAAATTCTGTATTTTAATAATATAAAGTTTTTGTTTTTGAAGCAGAAATCACACTCTAAATTGCATTAATAAAAATATTTTACACTTTAAAGTAATTAAATGCTAATGATCAATGAAATTAAACTTTATTTTGAAATTCTTATATTAAAAAACTTAAGAAATTAAAATATACTAATAGACACTAAATTTATTAAGTTTATTCCATATGATATAAAACAAGACTGTAATAAAACTTTAAAACAATTATTTCACAGAAAAGTGTACAGTACCTAAAACACTAGAATTCAATAAATCTTTTTTATAAATTAATGAATTGGTTTACAACTTTTTTACAAATACACAAAAAAGAAATACTAAATTATAGAGTTTCTAGTGTCTTTGAATATGTAAATATTTTCATTTTATCTATATTCCTAAAAATACTTTAAATTAATTAAATAACTTTTAATTTAATTTTTTCTATTTATATTTAAAGATTGAAATATTTTTGAACATTTTAGAACCTTTTGAATTTTAACACACATTTATTTAAGTTTTAAATATATTGAATTATTTTTTTACACTTCCTTTAAATTTATTATATTTTAAATTTCTCAATATCATCAATATAATTCATAATAATATCAATACAAAATTTCTATTAAATAATTAAAAATACTAAATCTTAAAGCGAAATAATTTCCAGATTAAATCAGGCTACATTACTACTACTATTAATAACTAAATACAGAGTAATTTGGGCTAGAGGTAAGCATTAGGTGCCTCTAGGTTTAAATTTAACAATTATAATTAAATTATTATTATTAATATAAAATATTAATTATATAATTTAATAAGAGATGGTGCCTGATGCCTCCCTCTAGGCCAAATTACTCTGTTTTTAATTATTAACAGTAGTGGTAATGTAGCCCAATTTAATCCAGCAATCATTTGGCTTTAACATAACTATCAGGCTTTGAGATGTTTATATATGAATACTAAATCTACTAAATTTACAAAGATTTATATATTTATTATTAAATTTTATAGAAATTTATAATTTTCAAGTTTTTTACCATAAATATTTTTTACTCTGTATGGCTATATTTAACAAAAAAAAATAAGTGTTTTAGCATTACTGTATCTTCATTATTAATAAATTATAATAATGAAAGAGCATGTATATAAAACTGCTAACTTTTCAAATAATTATTTTGTCTCTACTCTGACATCACATAAAATTATAATATCTTATAATTCATAAAAAATTACATTCACATAAAAATTTTTTATATATGTTATTGCAGTAGAAATGCTCAATAACGTCAAAACATGTAACATTTTCAACATGACCAGATGAGAATTTTAATATCAATTTTGTATCTCCTAACTTATTCATTCAATATACTTTTTAATAATGAAAAGAATATTACATACACAAAACGACTTCTAATAACTTATTTGTTACGAAAACAACACTGTTATAAAAAGGTTTTGTGAATTGAATATTACATATCTACTTAAACAAATTCAGTATTGCTGAACATAAACCAAAACATTCCAGTCTCACAATAAACAAACAATATTCTATAAAAATGGAATTTATTTCTTTATATTACTGTAATTTACTGCAACTAACCTACAAATTATTTATGTTTTAAAGCCTATTTGAAAGTAAGTGTAGGTTATGAGCTGCTGTGAATTATCTCACATGACAATTTTAAATTACAATTATGAGCTGACCTAACAGCTTTTCCTTTACCTAATCTTACCAAAAGTGTCTTTACAGATCATGAAAAAACTTTTATTGATATATACCACTCATATTCATTCTCTGTCATGATTTCTCTAGAAGAGAAGCTGCCAAAGATATATATATATATATATCTTTGGCAGAATTAAAGGCAATTTATATATACATTACCCTTATTTCCCTCCTGTTTTTCATACATTAATTCACACATTTTAATTGACATATTAAACTCTATTATTAAAGTTGTATTTTGAAAGCTGATAAATTTCCAGTGATTACCTGCATTTTATAAAAAGACTCTTAGAGAACAATTTAAAAATCAATTTTTAATTTTATCATATGTTAGTTCTTTACAGTGAATATGAACTGACTAAATGATCAACTTTCAAACAAGCTGTCAATTGATATTGTAGAGTCTATATGCAACTTCTTAGAAAAATTAACAATGATGACATCAATAGCAACTACATTACACTTATTCACTCTACATTTGGTAGGGCAATCATTTTCATAATCATACTCACTGCATTACCACCCAATACTATCATTTGTATTTAATTTTCTTCTATTTTTCTTTAATTTCTAGTTTTTTCATTTAAGTTTTTCAAGTTTATTTTAGAGAGAGATAGCATTTACTATATTTATTGTCTGTCCAACAAAAGATGAACTTTTCAAAATCATTTTTGATGAGTTGTTAATCAATTATGTTGATTAAGACACATAACTCAATAATTATAATGCTAATAGACAATAAACACTTGCTCTCTTTTCAGTGACAAGATATAAATTTTGATGATTAAAATAAATATATACATTTAAAACAAAATCTAACTTGATGTAATGTTTCATTTTGTTTCACATAGCAGCAATACTTTCCTTCATTTTGCTAACAAAATCAAAACTAGAAATGACTACAGAAGAGCATCCATTATCCGAATACCGATCAACCTAAACATCGGTTAACCGAAAGCATTCCAGTTGGTAAGTTCAAATTTCTGCTAGGGCTGTGGCATTGCAGCATCTTCCCCTCCCTGCTAAACTGAACTGTAAGCCCAGTTTAATGTATTACATTATGTAAGGTATGTATTTGTAAGACATGTGTTACAAATTATATACAGTACAGTTTTGTGTTTAATATACATTTTGTAAACGATCATTTATCTGAACAACTCCAGTCCTGAATTGTTTCAGATAATCAATGCTCTACCATATATCATTATTGTTATTTATTTGCTTCATTTATTAAATTCTATAGTTTAAAAATCATCTTGTAATTTATGTGCAATTTTAAATAATAATTTAAATTAGTGTACAATTTAAATTATTATTAAATAACTTTCAACTTATAGGACAGTAGCAGAATAAATTTTTATGCAATGTTTTCTAAATGGTAATTAGATGTATAAAACAAAATTTCAACATTCTATTGACTACAATCTATCAGTTCTTTATCATGTGAAAAAGTTCATCTTTGGTCAAACAGGTATTATTATTATTATTATGTTGGGTTTTGTGATTTATACTTGGTTCACACCAATGGCTGTGTACTATGCCGGACCAAAGTCAAGGCATAGCAACCAAAACAAAACTAAAATTAAATAAGTGAGTCAGTGTGTCTGTCTGTATTTAGGAATTTCATAACAATGTGACATGTATTCAATATAGTGGTCTTCTGTAGTGTGACGTATGTATTTCTACTCAATTGTAATGTTTCCAGGCTTTTGTGTAGTGTGTGTGGTATCACACCTGTACAGGAGAGAACAACAGGTACAATAAGCACCCTGTCCATCCTCCACAGATGCCTTATTTCCTGGGCGAGTTCTGTGTACTTGCTAATTTTTTCAGTGCATGTGTTTTGTACATTGTAAGTGTTTGGAATGGCTATGTCTATAATGTATGTGATTTTACTGTGTTTGTCAATGAGTGTGATGTCTGGTCTGTTGTGATAAATTGTTTTATCTGTGACTAGCAGACCCCGCCACGCGTTGTTGTGGCTCAAAATGTATCTATTATAAATGCATAACACTTCCCCTGTGGGGGGGAAAATTTTACGAAAAATTTCTTCTTAATGTACATTCTCTTGACGTACCCTATTAAAATGCAATCAAAAACGCAAAAACCCGCATCTAAAATAATATAATAGAAGTCAAGTTCTTCACGGTAAGCCTTAATTCTGTCCCTCTCCCCGTGGGGGAATATCGAAAAATTCCTTCTTAGTGTACATTCTGTTGACGTACCCTATTAAAACGCAATCAAAAACGCAAAAAACCGCATCTAAAATA